AGCTGAAGGGGTACGCCTCACTTTGGGGGTCTTGGGCAGACAATGCACACGGAGGACATTCAGGTATTTGCAAGGGCCCTCGAGGCCACGGAAAGTGCAAATCTATGGTATCGCATCCGTGACGGTCTTCGAACAACGGGCGAATGGTAAAACGATATCCTATGGATCCCCTCGCGCTCGGGGGCCAAAGAGCCCAAGCAGGATCAGACACGCGTGCTTTCTTTCTTCTTGCAGGCAACGCGTGTGCTGTCAAATGGGCCACAACTGCTATCATTTGTGTGTTTGCTTGTTTTCGTATAGATAGAGGCCCAGTCATGAACACTTCCAGCTTCCCAGTTGATGAGATGGGGACTCCACCCTGCTAGAACAGGCAGAAAAGAAAGAGAAAGGGGAGGATTTCTCTGTTATATATATATATATATAGGGGGAGAGAGAAAGAGAGAGAGAGAGAGAGAGAGAGAGAAAAAGAGAGAGAGAGAGAGAGAGAAGCGCGAGAAACGAGATGCCAAATGCGGCCGACTAGCGACTGACACGCATGTGTGGGAGGCGGCTCCGCGGGCCGCTCTGGCAGGGGCAGGCAGGGCGAACGGAAGCCGAGCCTCGCCGCGACCACACTCATCGGCCACTCGCTGGGGCGCAGCGTGCGATATGGAGAAGAGGTGGGGACGGAGTCCCCTCTCGCGGAGGAGGAGGAGGAGGAGGAGGAGGAGGAGGCGGAGGAGGAGGAGGAGGAGGAAGAGGAGGAGGAGGAGGACAAGCTAGGTGCGCTCGCGTCATATCTGACATCCTACCCCTCCCTCCCATCCCTTACCATGGCGCAGATCCCCTCTCTACTCGCACAGTCGGATGTCAAGCAGGGCGATGATCCCGAAAGGGTACGCGATGCATTGTAGAGCACGGCATGGCATGGCGTAGAAGAGCACCGCGAAGCGTAGTATCAACCTAATTGCATGCCGTGGCATGGCACGGGAAATGACGCCAGCGCTGCAGCGGGAGCACGAGACGAAACGAGCGGAAGCGCGGAAATGAGGCCAGCGTTGCAGCGGGAGCACGATTCGGAACGAGCGGAAGCACGGAAATGAGGCCAGCGATGCAGCGAGAGCACGATTCGGAACGAGCGGGGCCCGAAAATGAGGCCGGCGCCTCAGCGAGAGCAGCATTTTGGGAAAAATTGCCAGCGAAAACCGAACTCCGGGGAAGGCTTTCCCGGGCGCCAGAAGCAGAAATTCAGCATTTTCAACAGAAGCATTTGTATTGGAATGGCCTTTTTTCGGCGCCGCCTGGGAACTCGATTTTCCGGCGCCGGCCGGAACCGGCTCCGGACCCGGACGGGCGCCGGCCCGGGCGCCGGCTCGGGCGTCCGGCCCGGGCGCCGGCTCGGGCGCCGGCCTCCCGGGCGCCGGAAGCAGAAATTCAGCATTTTCACAAGAGAATGGCCTTTTTTCGGCGCCGCCTCGGAGCTCGATTTTCCGGCGCCGGCCGGAACCGGCTCTGGACCAGGCCCGAGCGCCGGCCCGGGCGCCGGCTCGGGCGTGCAGCCCGGGCGCCGGCGGAAATGGTGCCAGCGCTGCAGCGGGAGCACGATTCGGAACGAGCCGGGCCCGAAAATGATGCCCGCGCCTCAGCGAGAGCAGCATTTTGAAAAAATGCAAGCGAAAATCCAACTCCGGGGAAACTTGTGCGTAAAAAACAGCACGCGGGGGGGGGGGGGCGAATATTCCCAAGACGTCATCAAGGGAAGAGTAGTATTCATATTGAGTAAGTGTGGAGGAGGAGGAGGAGGAGGAGGAGGAGGAGGAGGAGGAGGAGGAGGAGGAGAAGGAGGAGGAGGAGGAGGAGGAGGAGGAGGAGCGAGGAGGAGGAGGCGCCGCGCGACGGGCGTGGGGCCTGGCGAGGGCCCGCCCCCGAAGCCCAGCTCGGCGAGGCGCCACCCCCGCCGCGTCTTTTTGTCGCGGAGGCGAGGGGGGGCCGGGGGCGGAGCCCCCTCTCGCTGAGGCCCCAGCCACGGACCTGCACGATGCACGGGCTTCTACGCAGGCGCAGGGCGCGACGGGCACTGGCCTTTGCTACGCTTGCCGACCCTCGGGGGTGTGCGAGCGGCCCAGCAGGCACCGGGAAGCCCTCAGCACGAGCCAGCACGCCTTCAAACCCAGTGCAGATCTTACCTGAGACCGGCGGTAGTTTTCAAGCTTGATGTCGCCTGATAGCCCACAAAATGGGAACACCGGCATTTGCGAAACAAGCGCCTGCCAGCAAAAGTGCCGTGAAGACCCACCCCAGACCCCATAACTATCTCGAGGTTGGCCGACGACCGCGCCGGAAGAGAGCGCGAAGTGTTGCGAGATAAACGCCCACTTCTGCGGGGGGGTGTTGCTTGCACGTCAACCTTGAAATATGGGGCGAGGGGGGGCGCACGTTGACGCATCGCCGTTTACACTTGAGATGGGAGTCTATTTTTAGGTCGGGCATGTCCCCCTACAGGCGGATTTCGGAAGGAAAAACTAAAAATAGTCAAAACATATTCAAAAATACAAAAATTAGTCAAAAAGTCATCCCCTGACTATTTCCCAGCCATCCTGTGGTGTTGGGTCCTCGTTTTGAACAGACGGTCCCCGCGTCTCCTCCTCCTCCTCCTCCTCCTCCTCCTCCCCCTCCTCCCTCCTCCATGCGTTACACCCACCCAGTACAACGTTTCGTGGCCCCACAGAGAGCTCCACCGAAGGCCCCAATGGGGGGTACCACATGCGTCCGCCACGCCCAGTAAACCGTTTCGTGGCCCCATAGGGAGCTCCACCGAAGGCCCCAGTGGGGGGTACCACATGCGTCCGCCACACCCAGTACTGCGTTTCGTGGCCCCATGGGGAGCTCCACCGAAGGCCCCAATGGGGGGTACCACATGCTTCCGCCACACCCAGTACAGCGTTTCGTGGCACCGTAGGGAGCTCCACCGAAGGCCCCACTCGGGGGTACTACATGCGTCCGCCACACCCAATACAGCGCTTCGTGGACCCATAAGGAACTCCACGTAAGGCCCAAGTGGGGTTGGCCACATGCGTCCGCCACACCCAATACAGCGTTTCATGGCCTCATAAAAAGGATCTCCACGTAAGGCCCTAGTGGGGGTGGCCACATGCGTCCGCCACACCCACTACAGCGCTTCGTGGCCCCATAAAGGATCTCCACGTAAGGCCCCAGTAGGGGTGGCCACATGCGTCCGCCACACCCACTACAGCGCTTCGTGGCCCCATAAGGAACTCCACGTAAGGCCCCAGTGGGGGTGGCCACATGCGTCCGCCACACCCACTACAGCGCGTCGTGGCCCCATACGGAACTCCACCGAAACCCCCAATGGGACCGCGCACATGCGTCCCGCACACCCAATTTGGCATTTCCACCCACGTAGTATAGCGTTTCTTGACCCCATAGGGTGCTCCACCGAAGCCCCCAATGGGACTGCCCACATGCGTCCCGCGCACACAGTTTGGCATTTCCGCCCACCAAATATAGCGTTTCTTGGCCCCACAGGGAGCCCCACCGAAGCCCTCAATGGGACGGCCCACATGCGTCCCGCACGCCCAATTTTGCATTTTCACCCATCCTGTATAGCGTTTCGTGGCCCCACAGGGAGCTCCACCGAAGCCCCGAGTAGGACCGTCCGCATGTGTCCCGCACACCCAATCTGGCATGTGCACTCACCCACTATGGCGCTGCGTGGCTCCATAGGGAACCCCACCGAAGCCCCCAATGGGACCGTTCGCATGCGTCCCAGAAACCCAATTTGGCATTTTCACCCGCCCAGTACAGCGCCTCGTGGCCCCATAGTGAGCTCCACCGACGGCCCCAGTGCTACCGCCCGCATACGTTCCCCCCCACCCAGTGCAGCGCTTCGTGGTCCCAAAGGGAGCTTCACCGAAGAAGGTGTTCACAATTGCGGCACCCACAGCTGCATATGGTTGGGTCCTCCGCCAGGATTCTTTCTTGCCATTTTTGAGTTCCCCTCCTGCAGAGGGACGTGCCCGACTTAAGTCTGTTTCGCAAACCACGGCATCCCTGGATCTTGACGTGGCGTGCGCCGCAGGGCACCAGCTGGAGTCGACATGATAAGCGCGGCTGGAGCGGAGGAGCGAGGAGCGAGGAGCGAGGAGCGAGGAGGAGGAGCGAGGAGCGAGGAGCGAGGAGCGAGGAGCGAGGAGGAGGAGGAGGAGAGGAGGAGGAGGAGGAGGAGGAGGAGGAGCGAGGAGCGAGGAGCGAGGAGGAGCGAGGAGGAGGAGCGAGGAGCGAGGAGGAGGAGGAGGAGGAGGAGGAGCAGGAGGAGGATGAGGAGCGAGGAGCGAGGAGCGAGAAGGAGAAGGAGGAGGAGGAGGAGGAGCGAGGAGCGAGGAGCGAGGAGCGAGGAGTGAGGAGCGAGGAGCGGGGAGGAGAAGGAGGAGGAGGAGGAGGAGGAGGACGAGGAGGGGCGGCAGGCCAGGCCGCGGGAGCGCGGCAACAGGGAAGCACGGCGTCGGAGTCAGGTCTGCACAGGGAGGGGCGCACGGCAGGTTCGCGTCGTGTCGACCCCGGCGTTGGCTCCTGACACCGCGGGGGTCCAGGCCTCGGAAAAAAATAGCGAACACTCATGCCACGTTCATCTGTCAACGCCTCCCCCTCCTCCCAATGTTCAAAGTTGGCGGTGGATCTGATGAGTTGCACCTCGACCGTAGTCTCCCCCGCGCGTGCCAACCTTGAGTTTGGGGGGCAGGGGGGGTGTTCACTAATTGTTTCCCTCCACCGTCGTTCAAATTTGCACGATCGGCCGTTCTGTGAACGCCGGATCGTTCAACGATGGGCCGATTCTGGGCCACGGGCGGCGTTCAACCTTAAACGCATGCGATGGGTTCGCCACTGGTCGGCACGACGCGGACCTGCCATAAGGGGAGTTCCGGAGGAGGAGCGCAATGGAAAGAAGGAGTTGCTCTGAATAGCTGGCTGCCTGCGCGACCCCCACCCAGTCCCCGCAGAGCCTTCAGGGGCCACGCGGAGCTGGATAGGCTGACCCCAGCGCCTCCAGGCACCTTCTGGGGGACGGCGGCACAGGATGCTGGTTCCGGCGAGGGATGAGAAGCATGAGGAGATTTAAGGGATGATGATGATGATGATGATGATGATGATGATGATGATGATGATGATGATGATGATGATGATGATGATGATGATGATGATGATGATGATGGTGATGATGATGATGATGATGACGACGGTGACGATGATGATGATGAGGATGATGATGATGATGATGATGATGATGATGATGATGATGCTGACGCTGATGATGCTGATGCTGCTGCTGATGATGATGCTGTAGAAGACGAATACTAATAGTTAGAATCAGAAGAAAAAGGGGAGTAGGAGAAGGAGGAGGACAAGGAACGGAGGGGGCATGATGCGGAGGAGGAGAAGGAGGAGGATGAGAAGCATCAGGAGATTTGAGGGATGATGATGATGATGATGATGATGATGATGATGATGATGATGATGGTGACGATGATGATGATGATGAGGAGGAGGATGATGATGATTATGATGATGATGATGCTGATGCTCATGACGATGATGCTGATGCTGACGATAATGCTGATGCTGATGCTGATGGTGCTGCTGCTGATGATGATGCTGATGATGAGTCTGAGTATAGTGTCTGTATGAGTATGAGTATGAATATGAGTATGAGTGCGGGTATAGGTATGGACATGAGTACGGATATGAGTATTCGTATGATTCTGATTATGTTAATCATGCTGCTGATGGTTGCTGATGATAATACCGATGATGATGACGACTATGATGATGATGATGATGATGATGATGATGATGATGATGATGATGATGATTATGATGCTGGTGATCCTGACAAGGATGATGTTTGTGATGCTGTTGTTGATGATGATGCTGATGCTGATGATGCTGATGCTGATGCTGATGATAGTGCTAATGCTGCTGTTTATGCTGCTGCTGCTGACGATGATGATGGCGATGCTGATGATAATGATGAGTATGAGTGTGAGAATGAGTATGAGCATGAGTATGGTGATGGTGATGGTGATGGTGATGGTGATAATGATGATGATGATGATGATGATGATGATGATGAGGGTGCTGCTCCGGATAATGATGCTGATGGTGAGGATGGTGATGCTGCTGCTGCTGATGATGATGCCGATGATGATGATGCTGATGATGATGCCGATGATGATGATGCCGATGATGATGCCGATGATGATGACGATGATAATGATGATGATGATGATGATGATGATGATGATGATGATGATGATGATGATGATGATGATGATGATGATGATGATGATTATTATCATTACACTGATGATGCTGCTGATGATGATGATGTTGTAGAAGGCTAATAATACTCATTATAGTTATAAGGAGGAGAAGTGGAGCAGAAGGAGGAGGACAAGGAACGGAGGGGGCATGATGATGATGATGATGATGAGGTGGAGGAGGAGGAGGATAATAATAATAATAATGGAGGAGGAAGAAACGAGGATAAGCAATCCGCCGACCCAGTCGGCGTGTGTGTGTGTGTGTGTGTGTGTGTGTGTGTGTGTGCGTGAGGCCCTTTGACGCAAGGCCAGCCCAACCCAAACTGAAGTACGCCAGCCTCCTTTGAATCGTCGTCGTCGTGAAGAAGATCGGACAAACAAGGGGGATCGAACAATGTCGTAATTATGCCGAAGGGTAGCCCCTTCCCTTTGTCCCTTGTCCGCCGGGGGGAGGGGGTGTCCCAGGGGGAGGGGCGCACAGGAATTGGTCCTGGGGGTGTCCCGGGGGGCCTCGAAGTCGTGACCCCCCCCGCTTCGCCTCGGCACCAGCTCCTGGGGCCCTGCCCCGGCTCCGGTCCCGGCCCTGGCCTCGGAACGGTTCCCGGCCCCAGCCCTGGCCCTGGCTCCAGCCCCGCGGCCCCAGCCCCGGCCTGGCGCTGGGCTGGGCCCCGGCCACGCCACCAGCCTCGGCCCCGGCCTCGGGCTGGGCACCGGCTCCACCCCAGGCCCCGGCTTCAGCCCCGACAGCCCCCGAGGAGACAGACGGCCCTCCTCTTGCTCCTCCTCCTCCTCCTGGGCTGCGACTTAGCCCCAGGACAACGTCGGGCATGCAAAGGAGGGCGCACAAAAAGGAAGGCTCGTTTCAAAGATATGAGGACCCGTCGTGGATTTATCCGATACTTCCGAAAGCAGTTGCCCAGGGACCGATCTCGCATGAGCAAGATTTACATATGTGGGGTCAGGCCTGCTGCGGGCTACGGGTCCATGGTCCTGGGAATGTCCGATCAGGAACTCAACGGTCTCAGGAGCGTGCTGCTCTCAGGTCTTTCGCCAGCGCATAGAGGTGCGTCGCTCACGGCAAAGGTTTGTATTCATGGAGATCCTGCATGGCTTCAGGCGACGGCACCTGCCAGACAATGGTCGACCAGTTCGTGGAGAAGTCTGACGACGCCGTCCACCAGCCCTTTCTCTGTCAGGGATCACATCAGGCTCTGGAGGAACCTCGAGGCTCAGGAGTTACGTCTGGGACCAGCTGAGTGGAGGAATTCTCGGGGACCAGGTCATCGAATGCTTCTGAGTTTAGACCGCATAGGCTGGAAGGCACTTAGTTTTAGTAGGTGGCAAGACGATAAGAGCAATGCTGTTGATTTGTTATACCACAGCCCAGCCATGGTTGCTAGCCTTTTGCTGTCAGGAGTTCAGAGATCCCACGAGAGGCGACTAGCGGCGAGTCTCCCCTCGTTTGATGGTGTGCGTGTGTGTGTGGACCCCCTCCGCTCCCTCCTCCGCTCGAAGCGAACCCCGCCGCGAGCAAAGTATTGGATCTGCTCCTGTTTTTCAAATGGCTGCTGGACGGCAGACCGTTTGAAAGAGTCAGGCTACTTTTCAGACGGCCTTTGTCCCAAGTGCGGCCAACCTGACTCTATTTTTCACCGTCAGTGGTTATGCGATGATCCAGAGATTGCAACGGCCCGCAGCGAAGCCGTTGAGCCTAGTCTGATCGAGACTGCCCGTAATTGCCAGCCCGCAGAGAAATTGTTTTGGTCTCGATTGATAATGGCCCAGCCCGATGATGACTCCTTCCCCCCCCTCGGTGGCGTCGGACCCACTCCTCCAGGATGCGTATGGGCAGCCGTTGTCTCTCGAGGAGTTTGTAGAACGGAGTGAGAGCTGCGACTTGGTGGTCGACGGCTCGGCCACCCATTACCCAATTTTAAATCTCAGCCGCGCTGCTTTCGCGGGAGTTTATTTAAAACCAGGGGATGTTTACCAGGTTCGGACCCGTTTCATGGCCACTGTGTGGCCTGTGTTGCACCAAACGCCCCAGGCGGCCGAAAACTTGGGCCTGGCCACTGCTTGTGCTTTTAGCTCGGGCATGAGTTCCCCTTCCAGTGATTGCAAAGGAGCCGTGCGTCTGCATGATCTCTCGGATGAGGCGCAGCTCTGCCCGCGGGAGATGTTTGCTGGCTTCCGCCGCGCTGCGCAACAATCTCCTGGATTTGATGCCCTGGGGGAGGCCCAGCATACGCCCGCCCATCGGTCGGATGCTATCATACAGGCCCTCCCCCCAGACCAGAAGCGAATAGCCCTTGCTAACCAGGACGCTGATCGCCTGGCCAAGCACGCCCTCTCGCTTCATCCTCAGCCTACACCTGCTGATCTGGAGAGGCTGGATAGGCAGGTGCAGGACCTCCGTGCGTGTGCGCTGATGTTCGGGAAGGTGCTCTCTCTGTTTCCTAAGCTGAACTTTGAGAGACCCCCGAGGGAGAAGAGGTTGCCTAGAGTTCCCCCCCCGCCTGATTGGCATGATTGGGAGGAGCTCAGTGGTGACCGACCCGCTTTCAGATGTAAGAAATGTTTCAGGATTTCTTTTGAGGGCGAGTCCCGCCCGATGAATGGTTGTGCTGGTTTGTCCACGGCCCTGAGGCGCCTCCAGGGTGCTGAGACCGAGAGACAGCACAAGTTGGGTTTTGCTATCCTGCACAAAACCCAAAGACCACTGTTGTTCTGTTTTGCCTGCGGAGCATACACCAGCAGGCGATGTTTCTTGCTTGGCCAGACCTGTCTCAAGAAGCTGAGCTCTGCGGGAGAACAGGCGCTCACAAGACTTCAGTCTGGCCTCCACCCTCATTACAGAAAGAATCCTGAGGGTGATGATTTGCTGGCGCCTGCTAGAGCACCGCCGAAGTCGGTGCTTCTTGTCCCTCCTGGCCCCCTCGCTGCTGGGTCGTCTCGCTTGGTCGACTCTGACCGACTGCGAGCGCTGGCAGCCCGTATCCAGGCCAAGGAGGAGGCATCCAGGCGATAGCTGCTGCCTGAAGCTGACGTTCTGCCGCAAGGTCGTCCCGTCCTCCTCCTCCTCCTCCTCGACCTCCTCTTCATCCCGAACGGCATCTCGGAGCCTAGAGTTGCGAGGATGTCTCCAGCGTAACGGGCTGGACCACCTCGCGCGCGGCATTTCGGACCCCAGAGTTGCGACGATTTCTCGGGCAAACGTGCTGCGAGGAAGTCTCAGGCGAAACGGGCCAGACCACCTCGAGCGCGGCGTCTCAGAGCTCCGAGTTGCGGGGGCCTCCAGGTGCCTCCTGGGGCCTCCTGGGGACCTCGTGGGGCTTCCTCCTGGGCCTCCTGTGGCCTCCTGAACTCCAAAGCCTCTTGGGGCTCCCAGGGGGGATATCTAACCTGTGGCCGTTTGGGCCTCTCCAAATGGAGGGGGGGGCACAAGAGCAGGAAGAATCAACGAATCGACACCGGATGCGTATTAACTTGACACGTTCTGACGAGGGCCTCCTGGGGCCTCTTGGGAGCCTCCTAGGAATCTCCTGGGGACCCCTGGGGCCTGTCCTGGGCGTCCTGCGGCCTCCTGGAGCTCTCTGGGGCCTCCCCCTCCTCCTGCCTGCTCCCTCATGCACATCATCCGCCTCGTGCTTCTCCCTTCCATCTCCTCCTCCTCCTCCTCCTCCTCCTCCTCCTCCTCCTCCTCCTCCACCTCCTCTTCATCCCGAACGGCATCTCGGAGCCTAGAGTTGCGAGGATGTCTCCAGCGTAACGGGCTGGACCACCTCGCGCGCGGCATCTTGGACCCCAGAGTTGCGACGATGTCTCTGGCGAAACGTGGTGCGAGGAAGTCTCAGGCGAAACGGGCCACCCCGAGCGCGGCGTCTCAGAGCTCCGAGTTGCGGGGGCCTCCTGGGGCCTCCTGGGACCTCCTGGTGACCTCCTGGGGTTTCCTCCTGGGCCTCCTGTTGCCTCCTGGACCCCACCTGGGGTTTCCTGAAGCCTCTTGGGGCTCCCAGGGGGGATATCTAACCTGAGGCCGTCTGGGCCTTTCCACATGGGGGTTGGGCCTCTCCAAATGGAGGGGGGGGGCACAAGAGCAGGAATAATCAACGAATCGACACCGGATGCGTATAAACTTGACACGTTCTGATAGGCGGCCTCCTGGGGTTTCCTGGGAGCCTCCTGGGAATCTCCTGGAGACCCCTGGGGCCTGTCCCGGGCGTCCTGCGGCCTCCTGGTGACTCCTGGGGCCTCCTGGGGACCTCCTGGAGCTTCCTCCTGGGCCTCCTGTGGCCTCCTGAACTCCACCTGAGGTTTCCTGAAGCCTCTTGGAGCTCC